CCATCTCCACTTCTTCCTGCATATTTGTTGCATGATAGGTTCTTGGTTGGTTCGTTCCCAGAGCTCCTTGTTGCTTATTCCTGTTAGTCTGGCCATCTGATCTTCAGTAACGAGCCAGCGTAGGCAGTTGTTGATGAATGTCTGTAGTTTGTTGGAAATGCCTTTCGTAACGCGCCAAGTCTCTGAACCATGTAGGAGCACTGACTTGACGTTGGTGTTGAAAATCTGGATCTTGTTCCACATGCTGAGTGCAGAAGATCTCCACACTGGTTTCAGGCTAATGAACGTCTGTCTTGCTTTTCCGATTCTGACTGGCTTCGACATCCTCGTCTGTGCCTGTGCCGCCTGTGGTTGAAACAGTGCTGCCTAGATAGGTGAAGGAGGTTATTTCCTTTAAGTTTCTCCCGTTCATGGTGACTGGAGTTTGTTGTTGTTGGAGTTGTTGGTGCGGTATCTTCATCACTTCTGTCTTCTCTATATTCACCTGAAGTCCCGTCTTCGCTGCCCTGCCTCTTCTATCAACTTGTTAGTTTTTGCCTGTAGATATTCAAGTTTGTGTGACATCAGACACAAGTCATCGGTGAAATCCAGATCTTCTAGGTTCTTTTCCGCAGGCCAGCCAGCGTATCCCCCTCTTCTCACAGCTCCCCACTGTTTGCTGCATGATCCAGTCCAGTCGACCACAATCAGGAATATCATGGAGGATAGTAGGCAACCTTGTTTCACTCCTGTCCCCTGTCTTCACTTCAAAAGCATCACTGAGCTGAGCTTCCCATTGTGAATTACTTGGCTGGCATGTGGCATCTTCATATAGTTGTTGAATGAGGCGGATAAAGGTTTGCGGTATTTCGTAGTATTGAAGCAGTTTACAAGTTACTTCTCGGTCAACGCTGTCAAAGGCCTTCTCAAAGTCGATGAAGTTGAGGCAGAGAGCTGATCGCCATTCTATGCTCTGTTCTATGATGATGCGAAGCGTTGCAGCCTCCAACCAGCCCAAACCTAATTGGGACATAGATATTAGTCCTCCAACGCTCCTCAAAGTTGAGAAGTTTGTTTGAAACCTGCAACAGTGCAAAGCAGAAGAACCTGAAGGTCTTCCACCATAAGTTCTCAAGGATGGAGGTGGGAAATTACTGAATAAAGTAACCGAGGTACTAGGCAGTGTATGGGAATCAGAAGTAGTTCAGTCGGCCTGATCTACTTCAATGATCGCTCCAGACTATAAGAAGAGAGATAAGTCTTCTTATGACAAATATAGGGGAATCAGCTTGACCAACATCGTGTCCAAGACCCTGCGGTTCGTATTTATCCCATGCTTGAGAACAGTAAACCGGAGAGAACTAGCCAAGCTTCAAACCTGGACGAGGGTGCGTCGATCATATTTTCACCTTCCGACAGGTCCTGGAACAAGGTATGCTAACTGGTGGCCAACACTCGGTATATTTGTTGACCTGAAGGCGTTATTTGACTTTGTCGACCATGAGGTGTTGTGGCGGTGTCTGACTGTAGAAGGAGTATCGAACAAGTATATGATGCTTGTCAAAGCTCTCTACTGGAGCTGACGCAGCCATGTTAGGGCTTATGGAGAGTCTTCATGTGAACTGACGACGACTAGCGGCGTCCTGCACGGATGTTTGCTGTCACCGTTCCCGCTTAACTTCGTCTTAGACGTCCTAATGGACATAACCTTAGGTACGTCTAACTTCCCTGGGATTAACCTGCTCCCTGGAGGCCATCTGGTTGATTTAGAGCATCCAAACTATTTTGTCCTGCTAGGTGCAGACGCTAATAAAGTGTACGGTCATATGAACTCATTGAGCAGTAATTTGGGTATATTTGGCATGAGTTTTCACGTATCAAATGCTATATGATGCTCCCAGGATTGATGTGCAACTACTCCCAGATTGATGGTAGATAGTGAATACGCCAACTGCTTCATTTACCGAGAGAGTTGCATCAGGCTGGTTCCCGACGAAATCTCAGCTTGGATGCAGAATGTCCATTTGTCATTGCCTAACTTCTATCATCTCCGGTACCGACTGATGAAATATCTGAACATTTGTTAAAGGACGAGTGTTCTGCCATGTATTCCATTCTTTTCCTTTATATTGTCATAAAACCTGGCTGTTAGAAGTAGATAATAGGGAGAGACTATAGGTTTTTGACCGCTGGTGTCTTCGTAGCATTGCTTGCGTTTGATGGAGTAACCATTTTGGCAATGTAGAGATCAGCGGGAGGGTACTAGGCAAGAACAGCAAGTCTTTCGACTAAGTTAGCTGAGAGACATATCGTGCATTCTGAACCTCCACCGGTCTCGACATACTATGCTAGCAGAAATTGGATTAGGTTGGAAGAGGGCTCAGGTTGACCAGACTAGGACTTGGCACCAGTTCATGAAGTTTCTAACTGTTGGTCTGAGCTTGAATGTTTTGAATAACTTTCATTTTTAAATTCTTTCTCCTTCGGTGCACATTTTTCTACTTCGATATCAGTGTTTTTCTATCGACTTGTTCTTTGCATACTACTGTGGAGTGTGGCAACTTGAACCGGTGCACTTTTGCGCTAGTTTCTGCGTTTCTCTTAATTATTTATGTAGTTGTCATTACGCTCATACTTAACAGCAGTGTAACTGACATACTAATGAAATTTAAGCTGTTCTGCTTCTAGAGTTTCTAAGAGAAATTGGCGACGTAGTACACTATTGGTCATAACTTGAGATATGAGTTAATCACTAGAGGTTAGATTCTATTTGTTAATCATTAATAACAATCGCAGTCTAAAGGCTATACTCGTTTTGTAAAGGTGAATACTATTGGCTTGTTATCAAGCTTTAATAAGTAGAATGGGACTCGTATGTATTATATTATACATACGGACTTCAGCATATTGTGATGATATTGTAGATTATAGTGGTACAGCACATGTACGCTGTGCAGCAAGTTCAATCATTGTAAGCTGATCCGTTAAGGTAATCAATTAAACTGACTTCGTGACTTGTAAGTTCTCTATCGATAAGGGGGCTATAACTTTAATTCTTCTACTTTTAACTCAATATATTAGTGTTTTTAGACCTCACATAGTAAATGTCTCATGTAGTAAAAGTAAAGCACGACTTCGGAAATGTTTACGTTTTTATTACTCCCTAATCAGCCTAGTACAACTAATAGTCAAATAAATGAATCTTCTGTCAAGTAACAAATGAAATGTATTTATGGAATCCAAATGAGGCGAAAAAGTAAATTTCTGATGTTTAAGCAGTCGATAACTTGTAAAGGTTTTATTCTGTGATGAAGCGATTTCAACGAAGTCTCGAAACGTCAACAATTCATTTTTCGACCTCATTGGGATTTTATAAATATGTTTCATTTATAGTCCATTTACCCAATGCTCCACTTATTCAACTTTATCAGTTCGAATTTTGTTCCCGAAGTTTAAAAAATCCTGTCAAGTATTTAAGTAGACTTTCTATATATGACTGTAAATTTTCATTTACCTTGATATCTATATTTATGCAAAGTCTGTCTTCCGCCAACAATGCTTTTTCCATCTTTGTTCTGGTTTCAATTAATGCTTGTATAATATTGTTTAAGATCGTAATCATATTGAAATATATTGGTATTCTTTTGATGTTACTTTTACGCTGCATTCATATTATTACTATTCTGGCAAGACAACAACAGTCAAAGTCAAGTGATAAGTAGTAAAATCACAGTGTTTGTGTATGCGTGATAGATATTGCATACATTTTTCTGACTCGTATGTCGTTACTTTGTAGACCTTTAGGCATACCAGTTGTAAGCGAACTTTGATTTTTACAATAAATGTATGTAATGTGTTTAGTTACATTTTTGTTGAAATCGATTTCGGTCTATCTGTGCCTTTGCCAGGAAATTGAATAAATAAGACATGCAATATATCACCATTTGTTTATCATTTCTGTAAGTAGTCTGATGAATTGAATTATTTGGTAAAAATTCACTTGAATTTTCTTAAGTTTCTTTAGAATATTGATAGTATGTGTAATGCCACCTAACGGTAAATTTTTATTCGTTTCAACTGATCATAGTTTATTCGAAAAGACACTTTTATTACATGAGAATGCGTATATAAATATTCAGCTTGTAAGTCTTCAAGGTAGTATTCATCATGGACTGATATCAGTTGGAGAACCATCAAGAAACTGGGTGTGCCGTACAGCTGTTCGGTCCTAGTATGTTATTCCTTAGCAGTACGCATCCATGAGCCCGTCAGTTCTCACGGTAAGTACGTTTCCACTAAGTCACCAGATCGAAATCCAATGGTTCACATTTTCCTACTTTGATCAGTTCACAACATTGTTGTAACAATTGATGAGTTTTATAAATTCATTTGCTAGTTGGATACGATGAATTCCAATTATACTGCTCATAGTTTGCTCTGAGTAACTGCTTTGTATCACAATAGCTGTCACATAATAAACACGCTTCGCACAAAAATCTGTATGACGCTTCTAATTAGTATCGTTTGCGAAAACATTCAAAGCAGCAAGGATAGTATAACCCGTTAACTAGTTGCTAAAATTATTCTAAGTGATGGTTACCTTAGCTTCCTTCGATAGTTCATTGTTCATGGATCCGTCTGACGCTTTACGCCGTCAGTAGCATGTATACATAAATAAACTAATTTATGAATGCTGTTGATTTCAGTTGAACTGTTTCACTCTAAGACATTATTGCCTACTACTTGTAGGTGTAGATGTTCTTGGTGTAATCCACTGAGGAGTTACTGGCTCTTGTTTTGAAGTGGTTTAAGAATAGATTAAAAGAAATATACAGTAGTGCTGAGCCTTCAGTAATCGGAAGTAATTTTTCAATTTTTTAAATTACTGTTTAACATTTACAGTGGTTTGTAGACAAGTGGGACAAATGTTTATTCCTATTGATTAATTTATCTTTTAGTACCTGCTCTACAGATAATTAATACAATTGTTTGTACTTTATGAATCATATTCTTTCTTTCAGGAAGATAGAATTATCGATCTCGACCATCACGTATAGATTTATCTTGAGAGCGAAAGGTTTTTCTCTCCGTCGTTTACATGCTTGGATTTGAAACAGTGGACTAGTAATTACCATTTTGACTATCATTATTCTTATTTTTACTACCCATTATGAGTTCAGTTTGTTATTATAAAGTGTTAGGATTAACACAAACAGCCACAGATGAAGAAGTGCGTCGGGCATACCGTCGTTTAGCGCTTAAATGGCATCCAGATAAGAACCCAACAAATTTAGAGGAAGCAGAGAAGAAATTCAAAGAAATCAGTGCAGCCTACGAGGTTCTGTCGGATCCGCAAAAACGTTCTGTATACGATCGTCATGGTAAAGATGGTTTAAATCGTACGAATGTCAAATCATCAAAATCAACTGGTGGAAGGCGCCGACATACAGCAGCAGGGAATTTCTTCCACGAAGATCTTTTTGAAACAAGTGACTTTTTCTTTCCATTTAATGATTTCGGTTTTACTTTTCGAGATCCAGAAGATGTTTTCCGTGAATTTTTCAGTAAACATGTTCATATGATGAATGCATTTATGGATACAGCTGGATTATTTCGATCACATAGTCGTCTGCACGATATGTTTGATCATGATAGTTGTTTTAATGAAAAGCCTAGTCGCCATTTACATCATAAAACAAGTTGTGAATCCAACAATAACAGCCAGACCAAAACCCATCATGTTGAGCGTGTACGTAAAACTAGCTTCCCTCAACCTGTACCAGTGCGTAGCTTATCTACAAAGACATCCTACAGTTTCAGTTATGGGGCTGGTGGTCGGCCTGGTCATACACCAGTTAGAAAAGAGACATTTCGATCCACGTCTACTAAAATTGAAAATGGGAAGTGTGTTACCACACGGAAAATCGTACAAGATGGTGTAGAAACAGTGGAAGTAGAAGAAAATGGTATACTGAAACTGAAAACTGTCAATGGTCAACCGGTTGCTATTGCCAACGGCTAGCACATATTAATGATAACATAACTTATAGAATAAAATTTACTTTTTAACTCTTTTCTTTAATATGCGTACACGAAATCACCTGTTTTATAATAATAACTCATATTGTTGTTAGCATCCTCTTTCTACATATTTATTGAATATCTATTATCTTATTATTGTTATTGTAACCTAAGATAGAACAAATTTGTTATGTGGTCAGTAGTAATTCTTCCTTTTATCCAATACTCACTTTCTAATTCCATTACTCTGTTTACATGCACGCATCTTATTTGTTCACATCTTTACACTTTGTGTGTATTTCATTTTGAGGCTATGCCATAACTTATTTGTTGTACGGTATAACTAGCAAACATTTGTATACAGTGTTATATATCGCTCTACTGATTGTAACTTCTCTTTGTTTCTGCAGTTCTCCACTGTGTTTCTTTTTGATTATCCTTTGCAGTTTCCCTTTTATTCTCGCACTCATTATCTTTACTTTTCCTCTTTTTTACCTTCTAAATAAACTTTACGCAAGTTTTTGTTATTTTGAATTTTCTTACTTTGCTTCGATTTTACATTTTATTTATGGATAATTTTCCTTCAGCAGTTTATTTATCAACTAACTATAGTGTAGAATAACAGAGTAAATTTCATTCGTCTTTTCTATTGCTTGTATCTCTCTATATTCCACACCAGTCTATCTTCAACCAACTGTGATTTCAGTGAAATCGATTTTCGCTGTATTTTTATTTGCCTACTTATTATATATACGTCTGCTAGTGATGATATTTATGCCTTCATGTGTACATTTGTATGCACCTGTGTGTCTATGTGTATGTATATGATTACTTGTTGGCATGTTTGTATGTGTTGCCAGTTAGCTGTGGTGGTAATGGGCGTTGTCGTTATTGTTGTGGTGTAATTGCGAGAAAAATTAGTGTCGATTAAATTTTCTTTCCTATTTTGTTCTCTTTTCTTGGTCATTTTACCGTTGAAATTACACCAGTTCAAATGCAGGTATCTTTTAAGAGGATCATATAATAATCAAACTTTAACGCTGTGTATATCATTGAAATGCACTTTTTATAATAATAATAATAATAATAATCATTACCATAAATGTAAAGTATGTGTATCGTATATTCTCAGTGCACACAAATTTTTCTCTACATGTGAGCTCGTATGATTGTGCTTGTGTGTGCTTGTTGGCTTCGACAAAATATTACTGTATTTCTACACAGCATATTACAGTATAAAACAAAAAGATAGAAATATATTCCTAAATATTATACTGTAGTAATTCTAGTTGTTTCTATTTATCACTCGAAGTAACCTCCAATTAGTAATTACTAACTGACTGTGACTAGACAACAGAATGAAGGTATTATCTTCAGTCTAGAGCCCTTTACCAATCGAATCTTATCACCCATCAGTAAAATATGCTGGGTAGCGGTGATTCATTACTTGCCTTTGAGATTACAATGCAAACCTGATGGATAGATTTAGTGGCTGTACTAACTTCTGCTTTTTTGACTGTAATACACAGGTCAAATGTTTCTTTCGATTCGGACTTTGAAATATTGTCAGATGATTAACTGGAAAACACTGAGATTCTCAACTGGCTTTGCATTTTGTTAAGTAGTTTTGGTGTACATACTTCCCTCCTATTTACGATTCTTACATTATGCGGAAGACTGAATTAACTACAAAGCTGGTTTTAATTTGTCGTCTGAAACATAATTCTCTTGACATGTTTGTAACTATACCTTTGAATCTTTCAATCTTCGGTGCTAATAGATAAGTTTAAAGGATATTACAGGAATGTAATATCATTTGAGAATTTAAGAAACCCAGGAATGAGAATTTACGTTGAAAAGGAATAGAAAATGCGTTTTTAAGGTGTTGTCTGCTCACTGTTTCGAAGAACAGTTGTTTTATGCAAGAGTTGTCTGTCTTTGATAAACGACATGAATGAAGAACCAGCCGAAATATAATAGGGAATAATGAAGTTCAATGTGTTTTACTGCATCTGTTATCAATATATTGATGCCAGTAGTCAATGAAATAGCCTGTACCAGTTGTGTATTGAATTACTGATGGGACCAGCTTGTTTCAAACCGATTAACACAAGAAGTTAACTCATGGATGTAGCAGTGAATTGAATATTTAAATTTAACTAATTATATAGGTATTTGAATACAGTCGGAAAAACCATTAAAGCAGCATAATATGAATCAAGATATTCTGAATTATCTCTTCAACTACCTACAACCTTAAAAATGCTTATGCTTTTCAGTTTGCAAGTCCTTACTGATTGAAGCGAAGGGTAACAGATTTAAGGTAGTCTAAACTAGTTGGAATAAGAGAAGTCATTAAGAAACTTCACGAAGTTGACCATTTATACAGTGAATGAATAAATTTTCCTCAAAAGTGGAAGCTGAGTAATGGTTGAAAATAACAGCTTTATAAAAGTAGCTGAAATACCGTTATTAATAGTGTAAACATAAGGAAAAAGTTGCTAGGGATAGGCTTATTAGGTATGATACATAATACCACTCAGAAATGGCTTAGACGATTAGATTTCCAAGATGAAGTGATGAATTTACGAGAAGAAGATTCAAAAGGAATTCTGGACATTGAGGCTATCAAAATAAAAAAACTGAATACTACCTTTCTAAATACACAGTTCAGACTTTTTTCGTCTCATTTAAAAAAAGACTTCGATGGAACTCGTTTTTCGCTTTCCGAATAAAAATGATTTTGAAAAGTTTACTTCATATTCACTATCGCTTAGAGCATGTTTCGACTAATTTTCAAACTATAGAAAATGTGCTTGGAAATGCTATCGAAAACACTTCTTAAAATTGGTGTGTTGTGATACGCATATGTAAGATTGTAAATCCAGTTCAAGGATAGCGTACATATATCCAAATTTTCATTCTGTCGCCTAATATTTTGTTTTGTGCATGAAGGCCAGACATACAGGTGTTTCGTAATTTTCCAGAATAGCGATTTCACCCACCATGATGAAAAGGTGTGGAAATATAGGCTTCTTTGTGATCGATAGACTTAGATGACTACTAAGGACTAGACAGCTACATCGGTTACCCACTGGTACCAATTTATGTACAAGCCTTTTTGGTTATACTGCAGTTCGTTCACTTATTTTCTGCATTTACTAGCAAATTATGGTGAATGAGTATTTTCTTACAGAGTACACCTAATGGCGTCATTCTTCGCTTCAAAGATTATGTCCTACACACGTTTGAACATCGTTCTAAGCGGCCCTTTTTCGAGTTAGTTGTCTAAAGGCTTATGAATTATAAATAAAGTCCAATTCATGTATTCTTCTGTGGAATACATCTAATAATTTTGAAATCCGTACTGTATCGTGATCTCAAAGTTATGGAAGTGAAATGTTTTGCAACTTCCACATCTTGAGACAGTAGAGAAGATTTTTTGCTCAGCATAAGAATAATAATTAATACTTCCTATTATAAATCTTTAATGGACTTAACCTCGCCTGGTTAACTAGTTCACTAGTTACTAGCCGGTCCTAAGCCCGGGTAAAGAGGGAACGTTGGGCATAGGGCTAGAAACCCTACCCCGTAAAACAAATCTAACCGCTAAACAAACTTCAAAGCACAAACGATATATAAAAAATAATAACAAAATTATTCCTCGCTGGAATCCGAGAGGCGAAATGACGCCGGTTGGTGAAAGTCTTCAACAAGCCAATTGGCCGATATGTCTTCTCCCGATGAAAGCAAAAGTAAACGTGGGGACATGGAATGTCCGCACCATGTTTGAACCCAGCAACGCAGCCCATATTGCAAAAGAGATGAGAAAGTATCGCATTGAAGTGATTGAAATTTGCGAAAGCAGATGGAATGGGAGTGGACTCTCCAAACTGTCAACTGGAGAATCAATAATCTACTCCGATATTGTCACCAGATGACAACCACGAGCACAGCACACTGAGTTATGGAGTGGCTATCATGATGTTCCCAACAGCATCGAAGGCTCTCTGTCATGCAGTGGGAACCAATCTCCTCATGCAGGATCATGACAGCAAGGTTCAACTTGAAAGGAAGGAAGGTCACAATCATACAATGTTACCCTATGCACCTACAAATAATGCAGAGTAAGAGAAGAAGGAGGAATTCTACAGACAACTTCAATCAACACTGGACAAGACCACACACCAGTTGGCGACATCAAAATTGTAATGTGTGAGGTGACATGAATGCCAAACTGGGAGGGGACAACACAGGAAGAGAACTAACCATGGGTCGAGAAGCGCTAGGTGAGGTGATGAACGAGAATGCAGAATTCTATCCCCCATGATATTCTTGATTGTGGTCGACTGGACTGGATCATGCAGCAAACAGTGGGGAGCTGTGAGAAGAGGGGGATACACTGGACGACGGAAAAGAACCTAGAAGACTTGGATTTCGCCGATGACTTGTGTCTGATGTCACACAAACTTGAAGACCTACAGGAGAAAACTAACAAGTTGATAGAAGAGGCAGCTAAGACGGGACTTCAGGTGAATATAGAGAAGACAGATGTGATGAAGATACCGCACCACCACCATCAACAACAACAACAAACTCCAGTCACCATGAACGGGAGAAACTTGAAGGAAGTAACCTCCTTCACCTATCTAGGCAGCACTGTTTCAACTACAGGCGGTGGCACAGGCACAGACGAGGATGTCGAAGCCAGTCAGAATCGGAAAAGCAGGATAGGCGTTCATTAGCCTGAAACCAGTGTGTGTAGCATGCGGAACAAAATCCGGATTTTCAACACCAACGTCAGGTCAGTGCTTCTGTATGATGGTTGAGAGAGTTGGCGCGTTACGAAAGGGATTTCCAATAAACTACAGACATTCATCAACAACTGCCTACGCTGGCTCGTTACTGAAGATCAGATGGCCAGAATAATAGGAATAAGCAACAAGGAGCTCTGGGAATGAACTAACCAAGAAGCGATCGCCCAACAAATATGCAGGAGGA